GTTTAGTTTTCATGTCTCTGTAGGTTCCTCTTGGCTATGACAATTTCTCACACTTTCCTTGTTTTTGATGCCCTTGAGACATACTGGCCATGTGTTTTGCAGGATGCTCCTCTCTTGGAATTTATCTGATGTTTTTCTCATGATTTGCCTGTGGTTATGGGTGTTGGAAGGAAGACCACACAGATAAAATGCCATTTTCATCAGACCACATCAGGAGTACATACTATCAACAGGATTTGTGACTACTGATGTTGACCTTAATTGCCTGGAAGTAATTTGGGTACAGATTCTCTGTTGTAAAGTTACTCTTTTTTTCACCTTTGCCATACTGTACTTTTTGGAAAGAAATCACTATTCACAGCCCACAATTGAGGTGTGGGGGATTATGCTTCCCTTTGTTTAGTATGGAATTGTTTTTGTTGTGTGTTCACAAGTCAGTTTCAACTCATAGCGACCCTATAGGACAATGGAACTGCCCCATAGTGTTTTCTATGCTGTGATGCAGATTGCCATGTCTTTCCTCCCACAGAGCCACTGGTGGGTTTGAACACTGACATTTTGGTTAGCAGCCAAGTGCTTAACCATTGTGCCACCAGGACTCCTTTAGTTGTTTTTTGGTTATAGTTTGTTTTCTTTTTACAGATTTTTTTTTTTTTCTTTTTGTGCTTTGGGCACAAATTTACAGAGCAGTTTGTTTTGCTTTCAACAGTTTGTGTACTTTTGATTTCATGCCCCGATTACCATCCCCAACCCTAATCCACTCTCCTCCTCTCCTTTCCTTGTGACACCCCCACTTCCCTATGCCCTTCTTAACTATGCACTTCTGTCTGTCCAGCTTTCCACCATGTGAATGCTGCCCCTCTGGTGCCCCATGGCCAATTGCTCCAAGGGGTGTGCTTGAACAATTTCTCTTAGAAAGATCAGCACGAGGCTGGTCCCCATGAGGCGGAGGTCAAAGATGTCCCAAATGTCCAAACTACCATGCCACTCCATCATCTCAGACATTAACCCCTCCTCCTCCTCCCAGTAATTTCCCCAGTCTTAGGGTTCTGAATTTCGCTGTAACGCCTCACAGAACTCACA